TCCGGTGGCGGGTGTACACCCAGGACCCCATTCCAACCTAAAGTGGCCTGGTCTCAGCTGATGAAAGTTGCAAGCGAGAATTTCATCATCGCTTGCGGCTGGGGTTGGCATCGTCCCCCACTCCTCCTGATGTTGAGGGTAAATGGGCGAGGTTTTGGGACTGTGACTCATGCAGCTGCAATGGCTGCTTTGGGTACGCGGTTCAGACCTCCCCAGAAACCCTGGCTGACAGAGGAAGTGTTCAGGATAGTTGAGAAAAAGCGACAGGCCCACTGTCATTGGCTACATAATCCCACGACAGAGAATGAGGAGGCTTACCGCAGCCTTCGCTCGGAGGTTCGGAGAGCCGTGAGGCGCTGCGAGGATGGGTGGTGGTCGCGGGTTGCTGAGGAGATGGAGTCTGCCTCAGTGGCCCACGATCACAAACCTCTATTTAACTCCATCAAAAAAGTAACCTGCAGCACCACACCTATTACCAACATTAGGGGAAAAACGGTGTTCCAATCTCTGACCGCCAGGAACAGGTTTGCAGATTTGCTGAGTATTTCTGTGAGGTTCTGGGGGAGGGGAAACCCCTCAGCCAGGAAAACATCATGGCACAAAGTGGGGATGACCCTGCTGAGGCTGCGGTGCCTCAAATATTGGAAGAAGTCATCCACTGTGAGTGGCTGGCTGAGATGCCATCTGTTGAGGAAGTACTGAAGGCGATCCGGAGTCTGAAACCAGGAAAGGCACTGGGCAGAGATGATTTCTCAAGCGAAATGCTGAGGGAGGGTGGCATTTGTGCACAGACTGCCCTATATGACATCATAACAACAGTCTGGACCACTGGACGGGTTCTGCATGATTGGAAGGATGCCCTGGTGATCCCCCTCTTTAAGAAGGGGGACCGCACAGACTGTAACAACTACAGGGGCATCTCACTCCTCAGTGTGCCGGGAAAGGTCCTGGCAAGGATTATTCAACATCGCCTTACCAGGCACGCTGAGGAGAGGCTTGCGGAGCCCCAATGTGGTTTCATAAAAGGGCGGTCCTGCACAGATGCCATATTTTCTGTCTGTCTGCTACAGCAGAGGTGTAGGGAATTCCAACAAGACCTACATCTCTGCTTTATTGACCTGGTCAAGGCCTATGATACCATCAGTAGGCCTGGGCTTTGGGTTGTTCTTCGTGCTTTTGGAGTACCTGACCCCCTGCTCACGATCATTAAGGACCTTCATGATGGTGAGCGGGTCCGGGTAAAACTACGTGGCCGGAAGTCAGAGCCGTTCCCTGTACACGTTGGGGTGCGACAGGGATGTCCTCTGGCTCCCACATTATTTAACATCTATTTTGACCACGTAGTTCGTGAAGCCTTCAATAGCTGTACCGGGGTAATCTACATTTGGCACATATATAATGAGAGGCTGATCGATGCCCGGGTGTGGTCAAGGGATGGCTCCGTATTGCTCAACCACGTTATGTATGCCGATGATTTGTTAATTGCTGCTCATTCAGAGGAGTTGGAGACGCTGCTGCTGAGACTGGAGCGTGCTACTAAGAGATGGGGCCTTACCATCAGCCCCACCAAAACTAAGCACCTGCCTGGGTATTTTGTACCATCGGACACTCCACCCCCACAACTCCCAATCGGTGATGGGGCAGTTGTGGAGAGAGTGGAGAGTTTCCCATACCTGGGCAGTGTGCTTATGACCGGCTCCAGTTTAACAGCAGAGGTCTCACTCCGAATCAGTCGAGCGGCAATATATTTTCATCACTTGCGTAACGCTGTGCGGAAGCTACCTGGTCTGTTGCTCCGCACTAAGCTTCAGGTCTTCTCGGCCACGGTCATTCCCTCCCTTCTCTACGCTTGCTAAACGTGAACCCCCTTAATGGAACATCTTCGCCGGTTAGGAACATTTAGGCTAGCCTGCCTACGATCCATCCTGGGTTTAACCAGGCTGGATTGTGTGAGGAGCTCACAAATCCTTGAAAGATCTGGGCAAGGTCCCATCGGTGAGCTCCTCCGGCAGGCAAGGCTGCGTTGGCTGGGTCATGTAGCCCGCATGCCCAGCCACCGCATGCCGAAACAGCTTTTGTTCGGCCTGATCGAGGGGGGCTAAACGGGCGCGGCACGGGCTAGATAAGAGATGGAGTGATGTGGTACAGGAGGATGTGGAGCTGAGTGGACTTGCCGATGACTGGTACCAGCGGTGTCAAGATCGGCCTCTGTGGAGGAGGTCGTGAAGGACGCTACTGGGCAGTTGGAGGCAGTCGCCCTCCAACAACAACGGAGGGCGGAGGAGCGACGCTCAGAACAACGAGCGGAGCGCCGGGTGCCTAAAGCACAGCAGGTTGGCACAGTAGGGGGCACAGGTGGTGCATCAGCCAGTCATCTCAGTCAGTCGACCCGTGGCACCTGGGTCTGCCCCGTGACCTCCTGCCAGCGGGCGTTCGACACTTCACGTGGCCTCAAGGTGCACATGGCCTGGCACAAGCGTCGTGGTGACGTCACCGCCACTTAGTAGCGAATGGCGGTTGTTGTTGCGTGACACAGAGTGTGTCTGTGTGTGACAGAGTGTGTGTGTGTGACAGAGTGTGTGGGTGGGGGAAGGATAGTGCAGTGGCGGGCACACTGCGCTACGAATTAGGGCTGAACGATTTGGGGAAAATATCTAATTGCGATTTTTCTGACAGAGATTGCGATTTGATTTGCGATTACATTTTTTAAGTCAAGCTTCAGTGCAATATTCGCTGTGTAATAGATTTAAAACATGTGATGGAGCATTACTGCTCTATATATTCAAATGCAAGGATGAGAACTTAAAATATATGAATTGCTTCCAACATGTATTTATTAAAAATAATTTAATTGAAATAGAACAATCAAACATGGAACAATTGTTAAGTTAAATAAAGTTTTGAAAATAAAAAAGAAAACACATCCAATAAGAAAGTAATCGGACTTTTCAAATCGCAAAAAATATGCAGCCTTTGCGATTTGCTAATCGCATTGTTTGAAATTGCGATTTCGATTAGAAATCGATTAATCGTTTAGCCCGACAGTACGAACCCAGCGGACCCCGAGTTCGATTCGAGTTCACGGGCGTTATCAGCGACGAATATCTGAACCGGTCTTGGGGTCTCTCATCTAGGTAGACTCGGTCCGAAATAAGTGGGCGGTGTGGAGTGTAACACGTGGCTTTGTGGTAGTGTGGAGTGTAACACGTTCCTTTGTCTTTGTGTCAGTGTGGAGTGTAACATGTGGCTGTGTGTTAGTGTGGTGTGTAACACGTGGCTGTGTGTTAGTGTGGAGTGTAACACGTGTCTTTGTGTCAGTGTGGTGTGTAACACGTGGCTTTGTGTTAGTGTGGTGTGTAACACGTGGCTGTGTCTTTGTGTTAGTGTGGTGTGTAACACGTGGCTTTGTCTTTGTGTGGAGTGTAACACGTGGCTTTGTGTTAGTGTGGAGTGTAACACGTGTCTTTGTGTTAGTGTGGTGTGTAACACGTGTCTTTGTGTTAGTGTGGTGTGTAACACGTGGCTTTGTGTTAGTGTGGTGTGTAACATGTGGCTTTGTATTAGTGTGGTGTGTTACACGTGGCTTTGTATTAGTGTGGTGTGTAACACGTGGCTTTGTGTTAGTGTGGTGTGTAACACGTGGCTTTGTATTAGTGTGGTGTGTAACACGTGGCTTTGTGTTAGTGTGGTGTGTAACACGTGGCTTTGTGTAGTGTGGTGTGTAGCACGTGGCTTTCTGTTAGTGTGGTGTGTAACACGTGGCTGTGTCTTTGTGTTAGTGTGGTGTGTAACACGTGGCTGTGTGTTAGTGTTAGTGTGGTGTGTAACACGTGGTGTTGTCTTTGTGTTAGTGTGGTGTGTAACACATGTCTTTGTGTTAGTGTGGTGTGTAACACGTGGCTTTGTGTTAGTGTGGTGTGTAACACGTGGCTGTGTGTTAGTGTTAGTGTGGTGTGTAACACGTGGCTGTCTTTGTGTTAGTGTGGTGTGTAACACGTGTCTTTGTGTTAGTGTGGTGTGTAACACGTGGCTTTGTATTAGTGTGGTGTGTAACACGTGGCTTTGTATTAGTGTGGTGTGTAACACGTGGCTTTGTGTCAGTGTGGTAACACGTGGCTTTGTGTTAGTGTGGAGTGCAACACGTGTTCATCATTTCCTCCCTCCGAGTGAACGGACGAGTCCGTGGGAAACGGGAGCCTGAACCCGTGACCTCGGCTCATCCAGCGGCGATGGTGATGATGGTGGTGGTGATGCTGATGGTGGTGATGTTGGTGTTGTTGATGATGGTGATGATGTTGTTGTTGGTGATGATGATGATGGTGGTGATAGATGTTGATAGCGTGATGGTGGTGATGTTGGTGTTGATGATGGTGATGATGATGATGGTGGTGATAGATGTTGATAGTGGTGATGTTGGTGTTGATGATGGTGATAATGATGGTGATAATGATGGTGATGATGGTGATGATGGTGGTGATGGTGGTGATAGATGTTGATGGCGTGATGGTGGTGATGTAGGTATTGTTGATGATGGTGATGATAATGATGGTGGTGATAGATGTTGATGGTGTGATGGTGTTGATGTTGGTGGTGATAGATGATGATGGTGGTGATAGATGATGCTGGTGTTGATGGTGTTGGTGGTGATAGATGATGATGGTGGTGATAGATGTTGATGGTGTGATGGTAGTGATGTTGGTATTGTTGATGATGGTGATGATAATGATGGTGGTGATAGATGTTGATGGTGTGATGGTGGTGATGTTGGTGGTGATAGATGATGCTGGTGGTGATAGATGTTGATGGTGTGATGGTGATGACGTTGGTGGTGATAGATGTTGATGGTGTTGATGGTGGTGATGTTGGTGGTGATTGATGATGATGGTGGTGATATATGTTGTTGGTGTTGATGGTGTTGATGTTGATGGTGTGATGCTGGTGATGCTGGTGGTGATAGATGTTGATGGTGTTGATGGTGTTGATGGTGGTGGTGGGTGCAGGGTGGCTGTGGGTTTGGGTTTCTATGGAAACGGGGAGGCGAACGATGGCGCTCAACGCTTCTGTCACGCGCTCAGCAGCGCCAATGGCACCCTGCACACAGCAAACAGCCTGGTGAGTAAGACTCACCACACTCACCACACTCACTCACCACACTCACCACACTCACTCACCACACTCACCACACTCACTCACCACACTCACCACACTCACCTCACTCACTACACTCACCACACTCACTCACCTCACTCACTCACCACACTCACCTCACTCACCACACTCACTCACCACACTCACTCACCACACTCACTCACCACACTCACCACACTCACCGTGCTCACCACACTCACCTCGCTCACTAACCACACTCACCACACTCACCGTGCTCACCACACTCACCTCGCTCACTCACCATACTCACCACACTCACTCACCTCACTCACCACACTCACCTCGCTCACTCACCACACTCACTCACCACACTCACCACACTCACCACACTCACCCACCACACTCACCACATTCACCACACTCACCTCACCTCACTCACCTCACTCACCTCACCTCACTCACCTCACTCGCCACACTTACCACACTCACCTCACCCACCACACTCACCTCAGTCACCTCATTCACCACACTCAGCACACTCACCACATTCACCACACTCACCACACTCACCACATTCACCACACTCACCACACTCACCACATTCACCACACTCACCACACTCACCACATTCACCACACTCACCACATTCACCACACTCACCACATTCACCACACTCACCACATTCACCACACTCACCACACTCACCACATTCACCACATTCACCACACTCACCACATTCACCACACTCACCACATTCACCACACTCACCACACTCACCACACTCACCTCACTCACCACACTCACCGTGCTCACCACACTCACCTCGCTCACTCACCACACTCACCACACTCACTCACCTCACTCACCACACTCACTCACTCACCACACTCACTCACCACACTTACCACATTCACCTCACTCACTACACTCACCTCGCTCACTCACCACACTCACTCACCACACTCACCCACCTCACTCACCACACTCACCTCACTCACCTCACTCACCTCACTCGCCACACTTACCACACTCACCTCACCCACCACACTCACCTCAGTCACCTCATTCACCACACTCACCACACTCACCACATTCACCACACTCACCACACTCACCACATTCACCACACTCACCACATTCACCACACTCACCACATTCACCACATTCACCACACTCACCACATTCACCACACTCACCACACTCACCACACTCACCACATTCACCACACTCACCACATTCACCACACTCACCACACTCACCACATTCACCACATTCACCACACTCACCACATTCACCACACTCACCACATTCACCTCACTCACCTCACTCACCACACTCCCCGTGCTCACCACACTCCCCGTGCTCACCACACAGCCTCCCCTCACCTCACCACCTCCCCTTCACCTCACCACCTCTGCTCACCCTCCTCCAGGTGCTGAGCACCCACGGCAGCGTGGGGGGCGCCGTCATGCAGGAGATGGAGCGGCTGGGCGAGGTGTTTGGTGGGCGCAGGGATCTGCTGTCCCACCTGGACGCGGTGAGGGGCCACGCGCTCACCCTCACCGCGGCGCTGCCCTCGCTCCCCACGGGGGGGGTCTTCTCCCCCGCGGGGGGCCCCGGGTCCCCCTTCCTCCCCCTTGGTGGTGGGGCGGACCCCGCCATAGGGGCCCCGCTACCCTCTCTGCAGCAGCTGTCGGAAGCCACCGCGGAGTTTGAGGGCTACAGGTGAGGGGACGGGGGTGGGGGGTGAGGTTGGGGGGGGGTGAGGGTCGGGGGGTGAGGGTGGGGGGGTGTGGGGGTGAGGGTGGGGGGGTGAGGGTGGTGGGGTGAGGGTGGGGGGGGGGGTCGGGGGGTGAGGGTCGGGGGGTGAGGGTGGGGGGGTGAGGGTGGGGGGGGGGGGTGAGGGTCGGGGGGTGGGGGGTGAGGGTGGGGGGGTGAGGTTGGGGGGGGGGTGAGGGTCGGGGGGTGAGGGTGGGGGGGTGAGGGTGGGGGGGGGTGAGGGTCGGGGGGTGAGGGTGTGGGGGTGAGGGTGGGGGGGGGTGAGGGTCGGGGGGTGAGGGGTGGGAACTGAGGGGGTGTCTGGAACTCACTATGAGTGTCAATGCATCACCTCCACCACCACCACCACAAAAGTTAAATCCTTAACTCTACCATCAATTCCAAATGATCCCCCGCATAGCCTTTAGCGGCCTGTTGGAGCACCTATTAAGGGCCGCCCGGCCACCTTTGTCTCCCCCAGTGCTGATGTTTTACACGCCGCACCAGGTACCCATTTTAGGTCGAGTCAACCTCCGGAAGTCCAGCACCGGTTCAGGGAATCGCCACCGGTGTTGGTGGCCGTGAGCGGGAATCGAACTCGGGTTGGCGGGTTCGCAGCGCGGCCCCCTAACCGCTGTGCCACCGTCCGCCACGTCACAAACAACCACTGTCGACACCACAAACAACTCCACCAACGCGTCAGCCACATCGGAACAAACAAACAACAACAACAACACGACGAGCAGCAACATCCCCCAGTCACGTGGGGCCGATCTCTGCAAACTCAGCTGCAATCGATACAGATCCATTAGTGGGGGGGGGGGGGGGATCATTGAGATGGGATGAGGTGGGAGGGGTCACGGGGGTAGGAATTGCGGGGGGGGGGGGGGGGTTGGGACTCGACCTGCGGTGCTTCTGGTGTGCTGCTCACGTGCCGTGATGGAGTAGTGGTGTGGTGCGGTGTGGTACTGGCGGTACGGTGCTCACGGTGTGGTACGGTGTGGTACTGGCGGTACGGTGCTCACGGTGTGGTGCGGTGTGGTACTGGCGGTGTGGTGTGGTACTCGCGGTGCGGTGCTCATGGTGCAGTGCGGTGCTCACGGTGCGGGCCGGTGTGCCCCTGCAGGTGGCCAGGCACGCTGCTGCTGCTGCTCGCCCAGCTGTTCTCCTGCCTCCTCGTGCTGCTGGGCATCGCCACGCGCGCTCCCTGCTTGCTCATCTCGTCAGTAGCACGGGGTCTCACGGGGGTCTCACGGGGTCCCCACGGGGGTCTCACGGGGGTCTCACGGGGGTCCCCACGGGGTCCCCACGGGGGTCTCGCAGGGGTAACATGTGGTCACACGCAGATGGAGGCCCATGGGGGTGTCCTACAAGGATCTCAGAGGGTCTCGCAGGGATCTCACGTGAGTCCCACGGGGGTCCCACGGGGGTCCCACGGGGTCTCGCAGGAGTCCCACGGGGGTCCCACGGGGGTCCCACGGGGGTCACAGAGGAGCTCACAGGGGTCAGACGGGGCTGCCACAGGGGGTCCCGTGGGTGTCCTACAGGGGGAGGGGATTGGGGTAGAGGGATGATGATGGGGGGGCGGTCCCTCACAGGGGCTATATCGGCGTTGCTTCCCTGCGTAGTAATGCGAATCTTGACGAAGGCTTCACGGGAGACCTTTGTCTTCCGTGCCAGGCTGACGGTGTTCGCCTCGCTCTCCCTGCTGCTGTGCTGGGCGTCGCTGGCGTTCGAGCTCGCGCTCGGCGTGGTGAGGACGGGCACTCACCGCTCGCTCACCACTCACTCACCGCTCGCTCACCACTCACCGCTCGCTCACCACTCACTCACCGCTCGCTCACCACTCACTCGCACTCTTCCCGCTCACTCTCACCCGCTCACTCTGACCACTCTCACTCACCGCTCGCTCGCACTCTTACCGCTCACTCGCACTCTCTCACCGGTCACTCACACCGCTCACTCACACTCTCACACCGCTCACTCACACTCTCACACCGCTCACTCTGACCACACTCTCACACCGCTCACTCACACTCTCACACCACTCACTCTCTCACCGGTCACTCACACCGCTCACTCACACTCTCACCGCTCACTCTGACCACTCTCACTCACCGCTCACTCACACTCTCACCGCTCGCTCACACTCTCACACCACTCACTCGCACTCTCACCGCTCACTCTGACCACTCTCACTCACCGCTGACTCACACTCTCACCGCTCGCTCGCACTCTCACCGCTCGCTCGCACTCCATCACTCGGATTCAATCTCACTCACTCTCTCTCTCACACAGACCCCTCCTTTGACCCTAGAGGCTCTCAGAACCGGAATGTTGAGGTGGAGAGACCCAGACGTTCATGTCAATCGTCGTTGTTATTCGTCATCCTTGTTATTTCGCTCGTCCACACCGCGGAGAGCCCCACCGAGTCCCTAGGCTCGTTTTGTCAGAAGGGTCCTGCCACGTTTTCGCAGCAGTTGGACGATGCTGCTGCTGCTGTGTGATCCCAACCCACTAATTTGCGAGTGGCCTTTCAGCAATGGGATATTTGGGCGAATACCGGCTTACAGTGCGTGCTTGTATCTAGTTATGGGAGGAAACCGGAGAATCCTGATGAAACCCCATGCAGAACAGGCAGATGGCGGACAACCTTCACGGAGAAAGTCGCCCGGTTCGGGAATGGAACTCTGCAAAACCTCTTGCTGTGAGGCGCGCGTGCCAACCACTACAGTGCCTCCTTGCGGACTTGAAAGCAGACAGGGACACCCTGACACTGCACAGGCAGGGAGGGGGGATGTGCGTGTCGGGTGTATCCGTGTTGCGTGTGCGTGCGTGATCACGACAAACAACAACAACGCAGCGAGGTGGCACGGGTGGTGCATCTGTCCAGTCATCTGAGTCACCCCATGGCACCTGGGTCTGTCCCGTGACCTCCTTGTCAACAGCGAGCCTTCCACACTTCACGCGACGGCCTCCAAGCGCACCTAGCCTGGCACAAGCGCTGTGATGACATCACCACCACTTGGTGGTGAAGTGCGGCCGTTGTTGTTGTTGTGTGATTGTGTGTGTGTGTGGTTGTCTTGGTGACCGTGTGTGTGTGTGGTTGTCTTGGTGACCGTGTGTGTGTGTGGTTGTCTCGGTGACCGTGTGTGTGTGTGGTTGTCTCGGTGATCGTGTGTGTGTGTGGCGGTCTCGGTGATCGTGTGTGTGTGTGTGGTTGTCTTGGTGACCGTGTGTGTGTGTGGTTTTCTTGGTGATCGTGTAGTGTGTGATTGTCTTGGTGATCGTGTAGTGTGTGTGTGGTTGTCTTGGTGATCGTGTAGTGTGTGTGTGGTTGTCTTGGTGACCGTGTAGTGTGTGTGATTGTCTTGGTGATCTTGTAGTGTGTGTGTGTGGTTGTCTTGGTGATCGTGTGTGTGGTTTTCTTGGTGACCGTGTAGTGTGTGTGTGATTGTCTTGGTGATTGTCTTGGTGATCGTGTGTGTGTGATTGTCTTGGTGATCGTGTGTGTGATTGTCTTGGTGATCGTGTGTGTGATTGTCTTGGTGATCGTGTGTGTGTGATTGTCTTGGTGATCGTGTAGTGTGTGTGTGATCGTCTTGGTGATCGTGTGTGTGTGTGGTTGTCTTGGTGATCGTGTGTGTGTGTGTGATTGTCTTGGTGATTGTGTGTGTGTGATTGTCTTGGTGATTGTGTGTGTGGTTGTCTTGGTGATCGTGTGTGATCGTCTTGGTGATCGTGTGTGTGTGATCGTCTTGGTGATCGTGTGTGTGTGGTTGTCTTGGTGACGGTGTGTGTGCTGGGGAGAGGTAGTGTAGCAGCTAGCACGCTCTGTGCTACGAACCCGGCGACACGGGTTCGATTCTCGCACATGGCCAACACCAGTGACAATTATCTGAACCGGTCCTGGGCCTCCCCTAGGTCGACTCAACCTCAAAATTAGTGCTTGGCACGGTGTGTAAACATTGCCACTGGGGAGACAAAGGCGGCCGGGCGTGGTGCTGGCCACCTACCCCCTCGTGTGCTGTGTCGGCATTCATAGGTGCTCGCCAACATCACTTGCCCCTACAGCCTGTTGAGGCTATAGGGGGATCTTTGTCTTTGTTGTTGATTGTGCGTGTGATTGCGCGTGTGATCGCGTGTGCGTGAGCTGCAGGGCGTTGCGGACTTCTGCGTGGCTCCTGACCAGTTCATCGTGAACGTGAGTCGCCAGGACCGCGCCAGCAAAGGTGTGCGCTCATCCCTACACTCGCACACACTCACTGCCACACACACACACCTGCATATCTACACACGCGCCAGACCTCCTACTCCTGCCCATGTTGCTGATGGTGGTCATGGTGGCGGTGGTGGCGGTGGTGATGGTGATGCTGATGTTGGTGATGGTGGTGGTGATGCTGATGGTGGTGATGGTGGTGGTGATGCTGATGGTGGTCATGGTGGCGGTGGTGATGGTGGTGATAGTGGTGGTGGTGATGCTGATGGTGGTGGTGATGCTGATGGTGGTGGTGATGCTGATGGTGGTGGTGATGCTGATGGTGGTCATGGTGGCGGTGGTGATGGTGGTGATGCTGATGGTGGTGATGGTGGTGATGGTGATGCTGATGGTGGTCATGGTGGTGATGGTGCTGGTGATGCTGATGGTGGTGATGGTGGTGGTGATGCTGATGGTGGTGATGGTGGTGGTGATGCTGATGGTGGTGGTGATGGTGGTGGTGATGCTGATGGTGGTGATGGTGGTGGTAATGGTGGTGATGCTGATGGTGGTGATTCTGATGGTGGTGATGATGGTGGTGATGGTGGTGGTCATGTTGGCGGTGGTGATGGTGGTGGTGGTGATGCTGATGGTGATGGTGGTGATGGTGGTGATGCTGATGATGGTGGTGGTGCTGTGGTTGTCTGCGTGCGTGTCATCTGCAGAGCTACTGGACTATTACCTCTACTGTCCTCCAGGCGTTGGGAACCCCTTGCAGCAGGTGAGGGATGGGTGAAGGATGGGTGATGCGTCAGGGTGAGGGATGGGTGAGGGATGAGTCAGGGTGAGGGATGGGTGAAGGATGGGTGATGAGTCAGGGTGAGTGATGAGTCAGGGTGAGTGATGAGTCAGGGTGAGTGATGAGTGAGGGATGGGTGATGAGTCAGGGTGAGGGATGGGTGAGGGATGGGTGATGAGTGATGAGTGAGGGTGAAGGATGGGTGAGGTATGGGTGATGAGTCAGGGTGAGTGATGAGTCGGGGTGAGGGATGAGTGAGGGATGGGTGATGAGTGAGGGGGTGAGTGATGAGTGAGGGGGTGAGTGATGAGTGAGGGGGTGAGTGATAAGTGAGGGTGATCGGTGAGTGAGGGTGAGCGGTGGGTGAGGGCGAGTGGTTGTGAAGGTCAAAGGTCAGAGGTTGTGCTCCTCTTCTTGCTCAAAACCTGCCCCCCCTCCCACTCCCCTGCTGCCCCCCAGGATCTCACCGCGAGTCAGAAGGCTCTGTCAGCCGCACAGGGAGAAGTCCAGGGGCTCCTCGCCGCATCTGCCCGAGACTTCCCTTCTGCCCGCGTGAGCAGCACTCGCCCTCACCACCACTCACCACCACTCGCCCTCACCACCACTCGCCACCTCTCGCCACCACTCGCCACCACTCACCCTCGCCACCACTCGCCACCACTCACCCTCGCCACCACTCGCCACCTGTCGCCACCACTCGCCCTCACCACCACTCACCACCACTCGCCCTCACCACCACTCGCCACCACTCGCCACCTCTCGCCACCACTCGCCCTCACCACCACTCACCACCACTCGCCCTCACCACCACTCGCCACCTCTCGCCACCACTCGCCACCACTCACCCTCGCCACCACTCGCCACCACTCACCCTCGCCACCACTCGCCACCTGTCGCCACCACTCGCCCTCACCACCACTCACCACCACTCGCCCTCACCACCACTCGCCACCACTCGCCACCTCTCGCCACCACTCGCCCTCACCACCACTCACCACCACTCGCCCTCGCCACCACTCGCCACCACTCGCCATCACTCGCCACCACTCACCCTCGCCACCACTCGCCACCTCTCGCCACCACTCACCCCCACTCGCCCTCGCCACCACTCGCCCTCGCCACCACTCGCCCTCGCCACCACTCGCCCTCGCCACCACTCGCCACCACTCGCCCTTGCCACCACTCGCCCTCGCCCCCACTCGCCACCACTTACCCTCGCCCTCGCCACCACTCGCCCTCGCCACCACTCGCCACCACTCGCCCTCACCACCACTCGCCACCTCTCACCACCACTCGCCCTCGCCACCACTCGCCCTCGCCACCACTCGCCACCACTCGCCCTCGCCACCACTCGCCACTACTCGCCCTCACCACCACTCGCCACCTCTCACCACCACTCGCCCTCACCACCACTCGCCACCACTCGCGCTCGCCACCACTCGCCACCACTCGCCCTCGCCACCACTCGCCACCACTCGCCCTCGCCACCACTCGCCCTCGCCACCACTCGCCACTACTCGCCCTCACCACCACTCGCCACCTCTCACCACCACTCGCCCTCACCACCACTCGCCACCACTCGCGCTCGCCACCACTCGCAACCAGTCGCCCTCGCCACCACTCGCCACCACTCGCCCTCGCCACCACTCGCCCTCGCCACCACTCGCCCTCACCACCACTCGCCACCTCTCACCACCACTCGCCCTCACCACCACTCGCCACCACTCACCACCACTCGCCCTCGCCACCACTCGCACACAGACGAGTATCAACCAGGCTCTACCCTGCTCGGCTTCAAGGATCCATTGAGATCGAGCGCACGCTCCGAGTGGCCGCGTCTGTGCGTTCGGAGTGGTGCAGCAGCGTTTCACAACGGATAACATCGCTGGCAAATTAAACGTCGGGTGTTCTTCGGCCTAACCTTGGTCGACACAGCCTTCAGGTGTACCTGGTACGCTGCGTAAACTTCAGCACTGGGGAGACAAATGTGGCCGGACGTGGTTCTGCCCACTCCCTTACCTCATGCGTCGTGCCGGCCTTCATAGGTGCTCACTGCTCTGGTGTGGTGGTGGGTGTGGTGGTGTGCGCGGTGGTGTGTGATGCTGCATGTGGTGTGTGTGCCGTATGTGTGTGCGTGCGGTGCGTGTGGTGTGTGTGCCGTATGTGTGTGCGTTGGTATGTGGTGCTGCGTGTGGTGTGTGTGTGCCGTATGTGTGTGCGGTGGTATGCGGTGCTGCGTGTGGTGTGTGTGCCGTACGTGTGTGCGGTGCGTGCGGTGCGTGCGGCAGAGACAAGTATTGAACCTACAAGGGGAGCTCAACGGCACCGAGACTCAGCTGCATCTCCTCACAGCCCTCCTCGACTGCCGAGGCCTACACAAGGTCTGGGCCTTCCCCATGTTGTTACTGTGCGTCGGGCCAAGATGTTCCGCCACCCCTCCTGGGCTATCCAGAAGCCCCTCTCACTTCTGCCGTGTTGCCGCCTGTAGGACTACGTGGAAGGGCTGCACGGGTTGTGCCGGGACGGGCTCTGGGGGCTCCTGCTGCTGGCGCTCGGCTCCGTGCTGGCGGCGCTGGCGTTCAACGCGGTCGTGTGTGCTGCCCCGCGATCCTGGCACCGCGCGGGCAGCAGGTGCGGGCACACCGCACCCACACCGCACCCACACACTCCATCCTGTCACTGACTCACACTCGCACGACAGCTGCCACCTATAAGCGGTGGAGCTGTCACCACAACCCTCCTGCCAGGCCAGGCGCACTTGCACACCGTGCGCACAACCAGGTTGCCCTTGCCCCCCCCTGTGCCTTGGGGGACTTGACCCCCACCCCCCATGCCCCCCAAAAAATGGACTCCATCCTCCCGTCGTGCCATCGTGTCTCATGAGATGACTCACACCTCGTCTTGTCTTTCTGCTCATCTGTCTCCTCCGCCTCATCCCTGTCCTCGTTGTCCGCTTCACGACCTTGTCCACTCCGTCTCCCCGTCTCCACGGTGCTCGTTTCCCCATCCCGGAAACCCTGTGTCCCCTTTCCGCATGTCTTTGTACCCCTATGTTCACATGTCCCTATACCCCTGTGTTCCTATGTCCCGTGTCCCTGTATCCCCATGTCCCGTGTCGCTGTATCCCGTATTCCTCTGTCCCGTGTCCCTGTATCCCCGTGTTCCCGTGTCCCCCAGTCTCCCCTCTAAGCTGTCGTGGGGGGATGAGTTCAGCCCGGATGCGTCTCCATCCCCGCCCGTGCCCTCTGCCCCCTGCGACTCGGAGTACGCGACCCCCAGCGCAGGGTAAACCCCGGGGACCTGGAGTCACGCGGAGAGGCGTGGGGAACGGAGCTCCAGGCATGGGGGAGCGAGCGAGCGAGCGAGCGAGCGAGCGGAGCGGAGCTAGGCCCCACCGGCCGGGCCACGCGGCCGGCTCTTGCTGGGCCGTCAGACCCACACGGCAGAAGCCGCGGCGCCCTTAGCCCGGCCGCATCAAGGTCGCGAGGTCACGAGTGTCACGAGTGTCACGGAACCGGGGAAGAGGAGACGGTCTCCTGCCGCTGCTGCGACGGGAGTTGAGGGACGCGTCGTCGTTGAAAAACAAAAATCACGGCAGAACATTCTAAAACAGCGACCAGAGGTTGAGATAGCGCAGATCTGAGTTAAGCGCACGCGAACCTTCGCCATTTGTGCTCAAAATTGCCGCCCTCCAGTCCTATAGTGTAGGGCAGGGGAGTCGGGGACGTAGCAGCCGTGGCTGAGCTGCACGGCCCGAATCATGGCAGCACCGGGGAGGAACAGGGAAAGGGCACCTGGGGCCCACGGGTGGGGGGGGGGGGGGTGCAGGGGGACCTGGGGGAGCAGAGGATCCGGGACGGTTGTTGCGGCGTGCCCACCACCACCGGCCAGTGGGAAGAATGCGGCGGCCCGAGACCGGCCTTAGGTCACCGCGTATGTTGCCGGTGCGGCAGGGCGGTCCAGGGAACCGGGGGTCACAAACCACCAGGCCGGCCCCCTACCAGAGGCCGTGGAAACCAAAAAAACCACGTGGCCTCGGGATACGGAATCTGTTCCTGCCCCTTGGGTGTACAACCGGGGTGTGTGTTTAGGGGGATGGTGCGTGTGGGGTGCGTGTGTGGTGCGTGTGGGGTGCGTGTGTGGTTCTACTCACCGTGGTTGGGGTGCTGGTGTCGGCGCGGTCCCTGTAGGCCGCGGGACTGCGACGATTACGATGACGACGGCGACGACGAGGTGTGCGCGGGCGCCAGGGGGGACCCCTTCAACCCGCGGGCGTCTCGGAGGCGGGGCCCCGGACCAGGGGGGGGGCCTGCCCCCCTGCGCACAACCTTCCCCGGCCTCTACAGCTTCCCCGGGGGCAGCCTGGGCAGCCTGGGCAGCGCACGGCCCCCTTCGCAGTCCGTCACCAACGCACCCATCTCCGAGTACATGTGAGTCCGAGTACATGCGAGTCCGAGTACATGCGAGTCCGCGGCGGGGGACTCGTCGACCGCGGGTGGAGGGAGAGGCGTGGAGGGGTGGCGCCGTGGTTAGCGCGCACCGCACCACGAACCTGGTTTGATTCGCAGCCAGCGCTTAACACCAGCGGTGAGCGAGATTTGAACTGGTCCTAGGCCGCCCGCTTCACCAACCTGCACTGACCAGCGTGGTGAAGCATGGTAAAAAAAAAAAACCTCAACCGGCAGCGTCGAGAGGTCTTCATCCAGCAGTGGATTGGCAAAGCTAGTGGTGGTAAGGGGTGGATGTTCAGAGTGGAGTGTTAGTTGGGGTTAGTGCCTATTATTGCAGGTTATCGTGGTTGTTTTGGTTGTTGTGGTGGTTATAGTGGAGGTTTTACTGGTTGTGGTGGTTGTGGTTATAGTGGTGGTTGTAGTGGTGGTGGTTTTACTGGTTGTGGTGGTTGTGGTTATAGTGGTGGTTTTACTGGTTGTGGTGGTTGTGGTTGTAGTGGTGGTGGTTTTACTGGTTGTGGTGGTTGTAGTTATAGTGGTAGTTGTAGTGGTGGTTTTACTGGTTGTGGTGGTTGTGGTTATAGTGGTGGTTTTACTGGTTGTGGTGGTTGTGGTTATAGTGGTGGTTGTAGTGGTTTTACTGGTTGTGGGGGTTGTGGTTATAGTGGTAGTTGTAGTGGTGGTTTTACTAGTTGTGGTGGTTGTGGTTATAGTGGTGGTTTTACTGGTTGTGGTGGTTGTGGTTATAGTGGTGGTTGTAGTGGTGGTGGTTTTACTGGTTGTGGTGGTTGTGGTTATAGTGGTAGTTGTAGTGGTGGTTTTACTGGTTGTGGTGGTTGTGGTTATAGTGGTGGTTTTAATGGTGGTTTTACTGGTTGTGGTGGTTGTGGTTTTAGTAGTGGTTGTTAGTGGTGGTGGTAGTAGTCCTACTGGTTGTGGTGGCTGTGGTTATAGTGGTGGTTGGCGTGCTGTCGTTTCTCTTTTCGGACGTCAGGAACCAGAGCGCTGCGTTTGGGAACCCGCGCTACGAGAATGTCCCACTCATCGGACGCCACTCACCCCCACCCTCCGTGAGCATGGGGACACGGGGACGGGGTAGACACGGGGACAGGGTGGCACACGGACAGGGTGACAGGGGGACAGGGTAGACACGGGGACAGGGTGGACACGGGGACAGGGTGGACACGGGGACAGGGTGGACACGGGGACAGGGTGGACACGGGGACAGGGTGACAGGGTGACAGGGGGACAGGGTAGACACGGGGACAGGGTGGACACGGGGACAGGGTGACAGGGGGACAGGGTTGACACGGGGACAGGGTGGACACGGGAACAGGGTGGCACGGGGACAGGGGGACAGGGTTGACACGGGGACAGGGGGACAGGGGGACAGGGTGGACACGAGGACAGGGTGACAGGGGGACAGGGTGGACACGGGGACAGGGTGGACACGGGTACAGGGTGGACACGGGGACAGGGTGGACACGGGGACAGGGTGGACACGAGGACAGGGTGACAGGGGGACAGGGTGGACACGGGGACAGGGTGGACACGGGGACAGGGTGGACACGGGGACAGGGTGGCACGGGGACAGGGGGACAAGGTAGACACGGGGACAGGGGGACAGGGTTGTCACGGGGACAGGGTGGACACGAGGACAGGGTGGACACGGGGACAGAGTGACAGGGGGACAGGGTTGACACGGGGACAGGGTGGACACGGGGACAGGGTGGACACGGGAACAGGGTGGCACGGGGACAGGGGGACAGGGTAGACACGGGGACAGGGTGACAGGGGGACAGGGTGGACACGGGGACAGGATTGGCACGGGGACAGGGTGGACACGGGGACAGGGTTGACACGGGGACAGGGTGGACACGGGGACAGGGTGGACACGGGGACAGAGAGACACAGGGGCAGAGAGACACAGGGTAGACACGGGGACAGAGAGACACGGGGACAGAAAGACACGGGGACAGAAATACACGGGGAGAGAGACACGGGGACAGAGAGACACGGGAATAGAGACACTGAGACAGAGCGAAACAGGGACAGAAAGACACGGGGACAGAAATACATGGGGACAGAGAGACACAGGGACAGAGAGACACGGGGACAGAGAGCCACAGGGACAGAGAGACACGGGGACAGAGAGACACGGGGAATGTGAGACCACAGGGGACATGGAACAGGAGATAGGTACCACAGACGAAGGGACGCAGACAAGTGGAGTGGCAGACGGCGATTACGGACACATGGGGATGCAAAGACGCGGGAATTGGGAGGCATGGAAACAGGTGAACATGAGCAAAGGTTCTGTCCTGTGGGATCAGGAGGCCTCACCGACCCCCCACATCCCCCCCCCCACCCCGCCCCCAGTACTCCCCCCCTGGGGGCCCGGACAGCTCCACGCCCGTGACCACCCGGGGCTCCATGCGACACCAGGTGCCACGCACGGCGCTCACCTAGGGGCCAACCAGTGTGGAGACACCCAGAGCCTCTTCCGCCCGGAGCTGCCACCTACCTGAAGCACCCCCCCCCCCCCCGCAGTTCCAGTAAAATCACTTTGATGTCCATCATCTCAGCTGCCTTCTGAGCCAGTCTTCCCAGCGGCATTTGTTTCAGCAGCACAAAACCCCCAGAACCGGCTTCACATCCGAGCCTCGCCCTGTGCACCGCGGGGCCGCGTTACGCACAAAATGCCGAAGAGCAAAGTGGCAGCGTTGTACGCCATGGTGGACGCATCGTCATCCCATAGTAACGTCGACATGCGCGAGCGATGGAACGTGTGAGCCCGGGGTTTTTTTTAAAATGTCAGTATGCCCATATATATGCCTACCAGTGCTGTGTAGTAATATTATTGTTCTTGCCGTTTTGAGAACGATGCATTTAGCCGGGAAAGCCTCATTCCGAGTCTCTAGGCCCGCTTTTCGGGAGGGTGCTGCCACGACAGCGGGATGTCTTGGCCATGCGCCGTGGCGTTTTTTTAGCGTTCGTTTCGGAGGAAACCGTAGATGGGTCGTTACAAAGCCGCTCGCTGTGCTGGCAATTCAATCTTCCCCCCCCCCCCCTTGCGAGCGCACTGCACTGACCAGGCGCTGCGGCTGGCGTACTCTCTGGGAGCAGGCGCGTTCACGGACACGCGTTCACGGCAAGGTCGGTGCGGGTGGACAGCAAATTCACCCGCGCAGCCGAGGAGCTCTGCGCGTTCCCACCTGCAGTGTGCTTGCAACTACGCCTAACCGTGTGTTTACTAACCAATCCATTAACTTGTAGTAGGGACCAGGCGATAAGGGAGCCCTGTGTGTACTATATTGTATGTATGTATATCGATTTGCAGGGTGGATGGGAAGTCACTATACCCCTGGATAGAGCGCCTCCTATTATTTCTGGTGCAGGTCAGAGTTTAGGGACTTCCTGCCCACCATGTGAAGTGCACAAACCAGGGGTGGCTGGACCAGGGATGGGATAGATGCACTAGACCAGCTCCCCTAACCCCAATCTCTAATCCGTAATCCCAAACCCCCCCACCACTAACTGTGGCTCCCAGGCACATCCTGCAGCCTTAGTACCGAGTTGGCCGCCTATCCAGGCAAAGACCTGGACAGTGCGGGAATTGGCATCCACCATCTGGTGGCAGGAGTTGATTTGTACGGAGAGCCCGCCTCTAAACTTACCGCAGGTTACCACTGCACAGTTTTGAGCAACATGTCCCGCGTTTGATTTGGGGGGGGGGGGGGTGGGGGGTAAAGACCGAATTGAGGTTCACAACTGAAGTTGGAAAAGTGTAATTTCCCCGCAACTCTTGCTTCCTGCGATTGCATCCATTGCTCCGTATCACAGGCTGGAGGACCTGGTGGAAGTTGTGCAGAATTTGTTTCACACCCCTCCCCCCCACCCCATTGTACGCCTTGCTGCACAACAAAACTGTGCCGCGTTTGGCCAGATTTTTAGGGTCACGTGGGTTGTCACAGCAATGGAAAGATATTAAAAGGACACGCATTTTTAAACAAAAATGTTGCCGCATGACCATGTTTAACAAAACAAAGTGTTTACCGTCTCTATAAAGGTTAATGGCTCAGTTTTTTTTTTACTCGTCTTGTTTCATTATCTACAATTTATCGGCCACCACTTGCCAAGGTCCCTTACTGGGTTTGGGTGTGCTTCTTTACGGGCTGAATCGTTCAGGAAAGACGGAAGGGGGGCAGGGGGGTTCTGAGCTGTAGGCCTCCATAGCCTCAACTGCATTGGTGAATAAAGACGGGCAATTTTGTACCGGTTTTCACGTGAGTGGAAGACAGCCAAGACGCCTACAGGTTCTGAATCGGCACGTTATCACCCCATGCAACACACGGACACTGACAAAGAAAATGAAACATCCTGTAATTACACAAAGCTGTACGGTGAGGTACAGACAGGCGACTTCTCCATACCGGGCCAGGTGCAGTAAAGCAATGGATTTTCTTGCACTGCCCTCTGCTTACAACGTAGCTACGTCCGCAGCCTACAGCACCTGCTTCATCAGCACGGTGGTCGCCCATGCCAAGCGCTATTCAGGCCCAAGCCTGCTTGGCTCGGTAAGGGCTGGGGACATTTTTGACGATTTGGTCATTGGCTCTGTGTGCGTCTTACTTTGGGCATACGTATAGTTACAGGGTAGTTTTGTACCTCCAGGGGAAAAAAATCGTGAGCACCCGGAGAAGACTCGACACACGAAGGGGCGATGCTCGAAAGTCTGGTACGCACGGTGAACTGCCGCCTTGCTGTACTGCATGCGGGTCTAACGTGCATCCACAGATCTCCGTGTGATCCACCAACCCTGCCACTGCCTCCCCCCGCACACTATTTGCAGGAGCCGTGGCACAGGCCAAGGGGTCCCAAGGGTCACTTCCTCTCCGCTCATTGTGTTTTGTTCGGCAAGGCCCGACTCGCATTACATCACCACGTCGCCCACTCGAGCGTCATCCATCACTGCACCACGACTCCCCAATGCCCCCCCCCCCCCCCCCAAGGGCAGCACGGCAAGGTCCGGAGGATGTGGGGGAGTAACAGCAGCAGCACGGATGCGATTTGTCCATGGCTGTTTTTTTTGATCGACTACGTAAACCGCACCGCCTTGTTTGCACAGGTGTGGCCAGGCATCCGCAGGTGGCCACCATTCCCACCAAAGACCAAACCTGGCCATTGCTCAAGTCAGACCAGGCCCATCATCACAACTGCAGTGTGGCGGTAACGAAAATCAGCGCAGCATTACCTGCACCAGATCCCGATACAAATTAATTTGTGCCGCCTGAACAATGACGCCAGTTCCCAGGCTTCACCGCGCAGATAAAACCCGGACAGATGGCATCCCTCTCTCCAGTGTCTCCCGTGCATCCACAGGTGTGCACAGGTGTGCACTGGCGAATCCCCACATCCATGGGTGCGCGCTTAGCGAAGTCTGTCCACAGGTGCATTCAGGCGCACCCATGTTATTTACGCGTGCGCGCAGGGGGTGTCCACATGTGCTCCAGGTCACATCCAAGTGTGTGCCCAGGCACGCCCCCATAGATGCAGGTGCCGGCGGATACATCAGGCGTAACGCTCGTCGCAGCACAGCGCGGCGAGCGCCAGCGGCGACACGGTGTGTGGGTCGCGCCGGTGGTGGAGGAGCGACGGCGGCATCGCGGCGGTGCCGCCCAGCACGCACTGAGCCGTCGTGGGCTGCGCCACGAGGCCGGAGAGCTCCCGCGCGCGCGATGCCAGCTCCCGCGCGCTGGCGCTACCGCCGGCGCCGCGCCCGCCGCTTGCCCCGTACTGCGTGCACACCTTGCCCAGGCCGAGCTGCAGCCTGCGGAGTGTGGGGAGGGGGGGGGGCACATGCAACACACGCTCAGTGCCGCTTGACATGACGCAATCGTCGTCACCGCATCGCGCTTCGGTGGCCGTCTGGAACGCTCTTCCTTCCGATATTTAGGATGCCGCCGGAGCTACGCATTTTAAAAAATATAGATTCACATTTTTAATTTTAAAGCTGCTTTTTGTGTCAAGTTTGTTTTCTTTCTCCCGTACCTCCAATTAGCACAATTTCCCAATCAGCATGGTTTCCAAATCACCCGCTGCCCTGTTTCATTCAACCCGAATGAAACAGGGCAGCGACGGGCACGTAATCGATGACGATAGAGCCACGTAGCCAAGCGGATTAACAGCAGTGGCTGACATAAATAATTGATGCTGCACTCTCAATGAGCACGTAGCCATTCACGAGGTGGGGGGGGGGTGGCGGAGGGGAATGGTCCCACATCTCAAACTTCGCCCTTAAGCATTTGTCAATACCACTGTGGTGGCATTAAAAAGAAAAAAAAAACATTCTATGCAACATTTTGGGCAATGCGCCTTCTTCATGGCATGTAAAATTACGTTAAAAATAATTTTAACACAGATACAATTATTCCGTGCTGTTCATTTCACGTGTTATGAAGGGCCATTGCCAAGGCAGTGTTGCTGACGAGCGTGTTGGGGTTGTTATTGGTGCTTGCAGCAACATTGCCAAATAATGTTGCATATTCATTCGCTTGCCAGCTATTGTGAGCAGTGCGCAAGCCAATGCCCACACGCTCATTAATATTTATGCTCCACACAAGAATGCCATGCCCTCGAACATGAATAGTGATATCAACATATATTGCCTAGAGCATTCATTCACCTCGTATTCTTGGGTTTCATTTTAGGCCATCTGTTACAGGCAGGGAAAAGGGGCTTTGAGCCGGGATTGAACAGGGGGCAGGGAGCCGACAGGACAGGATGACTGGGGGGGGGGAACATGGTTGATCCAGACTGCTGGGAGGGGGCAGCCACAACGGAGCAACACAGGTGACGCGATGGTGCCCCCTCGTGGTGACGCGGAGGTCTGCAGAGGCGACGCAAGACGGCGGTTAGAAAGGTTCCACGGACGGGGCAGCCGCACGGCCACACAACATCACTCCAAATGTGCGCACCAACGAAACTAATAACAGCAGCCCTCTGCCAATCGACTGCTAGATGCATGACGGTCTCGCCCACACTGGGTAAGGTGGTCACGCAGGTCTGTTTGACCGTACTTCCCCACGCTGGTTAGTGTAGTTTGAAGAGTGGGAGGCCCAGATGTTGCTTTCCTGTCTTATTTGCATAAAGCACGAATGATTAATTCTCCAAAATCTTCTAATCTCATTTGTACCACCTCGCATCCTGTTGACTGCCCCCCCCTCTCCTCCTCTCCGATCACCTTTCCATCGTTACTCTCGCCCGTCTGGCATGGATTTCAAGTTTTCTCGCTCTGCAATTGAAACCCGTTGTGGAGTCACGATAAGCTTATGGGTTGGGCCCACGTAATGATGTGGCTAACTGTGCATCACGAGACCCTCCACCACCCGACACAGCCAATTAAACTCAACGGTCATGTTTTTATCGCGCGAATCATCGTCGTCGCAGCTCACTGTGGGCGAGATGAAGAACAATTCTCAGCCAAATTTAGCGATCAGAGAGGCGCGATGTTTCGCTTTAACCTGCATCCAGCATCTTGAGGACGAGATCCAGGAAGCGAGAATGAAACCCAGGAACCCAGAACAATACTGGCTGCGCACACCTAGGTAAGACGCTAAATCCGTTATCTTCGCTTAACTCCACAATCTTTAATCGCATTCACGCTTCCGATTGTATTCTCCGCTGAGGGATGATGATGATGATGATGGCGACGATGATTACGATGGCGATGGGGCGCGCGCGATGGTGCCGTTTCGTCACCGTGGGATGAGGTCCTGGCTCCGCGCCGCCAGCTTTGCCAGGGCGGAGCACACGGCTGCCACCACGCGGGGGGGGGTGGCGGGAGGGCTGAGACGCCAGCGCCTCGTACAGCAGCGTCTCCAGCGCCGCGAAGTACGCGGAGAGCGTAGCGTGCGGCGCGTCGCCCGGCGCGTGCTCGCCCACCGCCCACACCTGCGCACGCCACGGCAGCCGTGCGACAATCGCGCGGTGACCACGGGAACCGCACGTTAACCAAGGTAGCCGCACAGTGACCAAGAAGACCACATGGTAAACCAGCTTGGGTTACTCCGGAGAGGTCCTGGGTGTCGAGGCCGCCTCAGGGACGCCGTATCGACTTGGGGACTCTCACCATAACCTCGGCATCGGGTGTCCCGGTGTTCCCAAAACCGATCACGTGCTGATCACGTGCTCACCACGTAGATGATCTCTAACCTTAGATGGACAATACATAAGATTTTCCTCACATGTAACTGTGAGCAGTTAAACAAGGCCCAAAGCACCAGGCCCTGGCCCTGGTCTCATGGGTTCTGGCATTCAGTGCAAGCAAGGCGAAAGGCATGGCGACTAAGTAAAACCCAGTAGTCACAGCAACTGTGGTGTTGCTGGTGGTGACAGTGCTGGTGATGCTGCTGGTGGTGATAGTGGCGGTGGTGGCGATGCTGGTACCAGGCTGACGAGGAGCGACTCGTGGTCGGGGCGACTGGAGAGAGCAGAGACGGCGTGGGCGACGTCACCGGAGTGCGCCAGCAGCAGCGACGGCTGCAGCGAGCAAACACGCTCCACCTCCGCCCCCAGCAAACTGCACGTACACACACACACAAACACATCACACATACACACAAAGATCCCCCGTATAGCCTTAACAGACTGCTGGGGCAAGTGCTGTTAGCGGGCACCTATGAAGGCCGGCACAACACACGAGGGGGTGGGTGGCCAACACCACGCCCGGCCACCTTTGTATCCCCAGTGGCGATGTTTACGCACCGCACCAGGTCCTCATTTGAGGTTGAGTCGACCTAGGGGAGGCCCATGACCGGTTCAGATAACCGTCACTGGTGTTGGCCGTGAGTGGGAATCCAACTCGGGTCGCCGGGTTCGTAGAGCAGCGTGTTAACCACTACACTCCCGCTCCCCACACACGCACGAGTGATTGGCATCGCGCTCGCTGAAGGTGTTGATGCCGTCAGGGAAGTCGTGTCCTGTATACCCAAATGCGCACAATTCTGTGAGTCACTTATAACTGCTTTGCCATTACTTATTGACAATTATGGACTCAAGACTATGGTCCTATCATCTCAGAGTCGCT